AGAATCAGGTTGGCGGTAATGGATCGCCCTCTATCAACCGATAGCTGAACTTTTCAAACATCGATTTTTGTACGAGCTTGGAAACCGTTGGCTGCCAGCCAGAATAGAATAAAATTGTTTGACCGTCGGCAGATGGCAGCATAAACCTTTCCAAATGTAATCACCCTTCAAAGTGTTCAAGAGCTTTTGAGTTATTTTATCAATATACTTTAATAGCCTTTCATAAGAACCTTTACTGTACCAAATGTTTGCTTTCCAAGAGCCTTTTCAATCGTCTCCACACGAAAGAGTAATAGCTTGTTTGAAAGGTCTTTCGAAGTCCTTTATTTTGAAGTTTGATTGTTTAAAATTAGTCGATTCGCTTTCGAGAAAATGAGAAAAATCTTTATTTAACTTATTAACCCTCGGCTCGCTTGATATTCGTAGGTGCAGCCTTAAGTGGCCAAATTTATACTGTATGCATTTTAAATACATGGCTATACAACTGCCGAGTTCGGTATAGATCGTGTTTTACATGGGAAAGGCCATTCTGATAGCTCCTTAAAAAACTATGCAGGGGTTGGCCGAAATTATCCGAACTCTCCTTCGGCTCACCCGCCATTGGTAAGTGTGACCTTAAGTAGCCAAACTTGTAGTGTTTGAATTTTTTATTATTAATTTGATACATAAATGGTTATACCTAACAATGACGAGCAGAGCGGAAGAGGGGAGTTCGACATCGATGGTTCTTTACCTATTGGAAAGGTCATTCTGACAGCTCTTTCAGAAATTATGCAGAGGTATGGCCTTATATGGCCAAATTTGTATTGTTTGAATTTTTATTATTAATTTAAGAAATAGTTATACGGAGGCGAGCTCGGTGTAAATCTATATTATCGGAAAGGTCATTCTGATAGCTCTTTGAAAAACTATACAGGGGACAGGGGTGGGCCAAATTTATGCCGAACTCGCCTTCTACTCTGTTTAATGAAAAAGTATAGGTACTAATGCCGAAAGAGTTCTGAATATCGTAAGTATTTTATCTATCGGAAGGGTCAATCTGATTGCTCTTTCAAAAATTATGCAAGGGTGGGCCAAAAGTATATCGAACTCGGCGTAAGCGCGGCCTTAGGTGGACTGTTTTTAATGAAAGGCTATACCAATACCGAGCGAGTCAAATGCGAGTCCGGCATAAATTCAGTCCACTCCGTCATAGTTTATTAAGGAACTCTCAGACCTTTCCAATAGACAAACACGATCTCGAACGAGATGAATTCGCAAAACTGAGAATCGGGCCAATTTGTGACTATTATTACTATTATTGCACATACCAATTAATGAACTATATAATTGAGGATGAAACCTCATGAAGTGAAAATAGAGAAATAGAGATAAAAGAAAGACACCATATTGCAAACCTTCAAAACATGACAAATTATGCATTTCAAATTGTACACAGAAGAAAAAGTAAACCATTGAAGCACAGCAAAAAAGGTTCTGTGTTTAAGTTTTCCTAGCTGTTGTTTCTGAAGAAATCCTTAATTTTTTCAAAGTTTGCACAATATTGGTCTTGCAATAATAATGACACTATAATTTTGAACACTTTAGGATAACACGTTAACGTTAACGCGTCTTTAGACAGCCGAATACCCACTTTACAGTGCAATTGGGTAGATGATTTTGCCAATGCAATCGAAAAACAAATTAACCTTGAAAAATCGAGTGACCTTGCAAATGCCTATAACCTTGCAAACGCATTCGAAGCTCTTGAACTGAAAAGAGATAAAGTTGAACAAATAACCTCCCAAAGCTAAAACGCCAAGTTTTGAAGAAATGGTAAACGAATCCTCACCCAATTTTGTGTGATTTACTAGGTCATAAAGTCTATGTGATACCGCTATGCTATTATATAGTGGCCGGGTGCGCGAGGTAAGGCGGCGCAGCCGCCGAAACCGAGCGTAAGTCCAATAAAAAGAGATTTTTGTGGCCGAACTACTTCGAAACGGTCCGACCGATTTTTATGAATTTTTTTTGTATATTTACTAGGACGTAAAGCCTATGTTATACCGCTATGCTATTATATAGTCCTCCGGGCGTACGAGGTAAGGCGGCGCAGCCGCCGAAACCGAGCGTAAGTCTCAATAAAAAGAGATGTTTGTAGCCGAACTACTTCGAAACGGCCCGACCGATTTTTATGAATTTTTTTTGTATATTTACTAGGACGTAAAGCCTATGTTATACCGCTATGCTATTATATAGTCCTCCGGGCGTACGAGGTAAGGCGGCGCAGCCGCCGAAACCGAGCGTAAGTTCAATAAAAAGAGATTTTTGTGGCCGAACTACTTCGAAACGGTCCGACCGATTTTTATGAATTTTTTTTTGTATATTTACTAGGACGTAAAGCCTATGTTATACCGCTATGTTATTATATAGTCCGTTGGGTGCGTACGAGGTAAGGCGGCGCAGCCGCCGAAACCGAGCGTAAGTTCAATAAAAAGAGATTTTTGTGGCCGAACTACTTCGAAACGGCCCGACCGATTTTTATGAATTTTTTTTGTATATTTACTAGGACGTAAAGCCTATGTTATACCGCTATGCTATTATATAGTCCTCTGGGCGTACGAGGTAAGGCGGCGCAGCCGCCGAAACCGAGCGTAAGTTCAATAAAAAGGGATTTTTGTGGCCGAACTACTTCGAAACGGTCCGACCGATTTTTATGAATTTTTTTTTGTATATTTACTAGGACGTAAAGCCTATGTTATACCGCTATGCTATTATATAGTCCTCTGGGCGTACGAGGTAAGGCGGCGCAGCCGCCGAAACCGAGCGTAAATTCAATAAAAAGGGATTTTTGTGGCCGAACTACTTCGAAACGGTCCGACCGATTTTTATGAATTTTTTTTTGTATATTTACTAGGACGTAAAGCCTATGTTATACCGCTATGCTATTATATAGTTCTCCGGGCGTACGAGGTAAGGCGGCGCAGCCGCCGAAACCGAGCGTAAGTTCAATAAAAAGAGATTTTTGTGGCCGAACTACTTCGAAACGGCCCGACCGATTTTTATGAATTTTTTTTGTATATTTACTAGGACGTAAAGCCTATGTTATACCGCTATGCTATTATATAGTCCTCTGGGCGTACGAGGTAAGGCGGCGCAGCCGCCGAAACCGAGCGTAAGTTCAATAAAAAGGGATTTTTGTGGCCGAACTACTTCGAAACGGTCCGACCGATTTTTATGAATTTTTTTTGTATATTTACTAGGACGTAAAGCCTATGTTATACCGCTATGCTATTATATAGTCCTCTGGGCGTACGAGGTAAGGCGGCGCAGCCGCCGAAACCGAGCGTAAATTCAATAAAAAGGGATTTTTGTGGCCGAACTACTTCGAAACGGTCCGACCGATTTTTATGAATTTTTTTTTGTATATTTACTAGGACGTAAAGCCTATGTTATACCGCTATGCTATTATATAGTCCTGGGGCGTACGAGGTAAGGCGGCGCAGCCGCCGAAACCGAGCGTAAGTTCAATAAAAAGAGATTTTTGTGGCCGAACTACTTCGAAACGGCCCGACCGATTTTTATGAATTTTTTTTGTATATTTACTAGGACGTAAAGCCTATGTTATACCGCTATGCTATTATATAGTTCTCCGGGCGTACGAGGTAAGGCGGCGCAGCCGCCGAAACCGAGCGTAAGTTCAATAAAAAGAGATTTTTGTGGCCGAACTACTTCGAAACGGTCCGACCGATTTTTATGAATTTTTTTTGTATATTTACTAGGACGTAAAGCCTATGTTATACCGCTATGCTATTATATAGTCCTCCGGGCGTACGAGGTAAGGCGGCGCAGCCGCCGAAACCGAGCGTAAATCACATATATAGAAATGTTTGTAGCCGAACTACTTCGAAACGGCCCAACCGATTTTTATGAATTTTTTTTTGTATATTTACTAGGACGTAAAGCCTATGTTATACCGCTATGCTATTATATAGTCCTCCGAGCGTACGAGGTAAGGCGGCGCAGCCGCCGAAACCGAGCGTAAATCTCATATATAGAAATGTTTGTAGCCGAACTACTTCGAAACGGCCCGACCGATTTTTATGAATCTTTTTGTATATTTATGAAGTCGTAAAGTCTATGTTATACCGCTATGTTATTATATAGTCCGTTGGGTGCGCGAGGTAAGGCGGCGCAGCCGCCGAAACCGAGCGTAAGTTCAATAAAAAGAGATTTTTGTGGCCGAACTACTTCGAAACCGTCCGACCGATTTTTATGAATTTTTTTTTGTATATTTACTAGGACGTAAAGCCTATGTTATACCGCTATGCTATTATATAGTCCGCCGGGCACACGAGGTAGGCGGCTCCTAAACCGATCGTAAGTCATGTATATAGAAATGTTTGTGGGCGAACTACTTCGAAACGGCCCGACCGATTTTTATGATTTTTTTTGTATATTTGCGTATGTCCCATAATATAAAGTAGACGAGATTTCCCATACGCGGTATGAAGTTCGCGGGGTCTGCTACTAATAAAATAAAATTTAATTACGATTAAGTATGATTTACTACGTGTTGTTGAGTTACCACGTTGTTGTTACATACACCTGCTCATCGTGACTGATTGCATCACTAAATGTGATGGGCGATTGGGTCGTCACACCCCGACGCCTTCATTATTGCTACCAATATTAAAAGATCGATTGCAACAAAACGGCGCAAACAACTACTAATGTAACTAAACGCGAAATACAGTATTTTTCATCAATTGTCTGGAATTATATCATGACATCTCCATGTCCAAAATGGCGCAAAAATTAAATTTTGGAAAACACAAGCAACAATAAAAATGTTTATTTTCCTAAAATACAGAGTAAATGTTCTTCAAACAACCTTACGCAAAGAAACTTTATTTACATTAAAAAGTCTCCTTCAATAAATAATTTACAAGCGATAAATTTGTAAAAAAATATTAATAAATAAATAAATATTCAGCCACTATTATTTATACAAGGAAATGTATGTGAAGATGAGTTTATTTAGACCTTTTCTCTTTTTTTTTTGTTCAACAAATCAATATTAACAAAATCATTTGTACAATCTTAAGGTTCGCAGATCAATTTAACGAGGGCGTTATGTTGTCGCACCACTGGACCTCGACGTTCGGCCACTTGGTCTGCAGGCAGGTCAGCATGGGGTCCGAGTCGTTAATCGACTTCAGATCGGATTCCAACAGTATGGCGGATCCGTAGTGGTACTGAACCTGCTTGGTGACGTTGCTGCGCGCCAGCCCGTTGTAGTGGATGAGCTGGAACATGTCGGGAACCGAGGACTCCTCCTTGGGGAAGAATTCGTCCATAAACGCGTTCAGTAGAATAATGCCTAGGTTTTCCGAATCTAATTTCTTTGTCATGATGTCGACACTGAAAAAGGGGGTGTGAAATTGTTACTGGGGGTGGGTACCTACTATTCTTGGTCGCTAACGAGGGATAAGGCAGAGAGGACGTCGCGCAGACTGGAGACACTAATGAAGTTGTTTCCGTCCGGATCGTAGCTTTTGAAGACGCGTCGTGCCTCCTCACTCTTAGTTTCCGGACTGACGAGCGATTTTTCGTCACTGAACAGCACTGGAAAACGCGAGTTCGAGTCGTGAGCGTCGAATACGACAGACAACATACCTGTTAAGTGCGTCTCCGAGCCCAACACCCAGATCGGGTGGGTCGGATTTTTGTAGAACGAACCGACCGTGCAGTACCTCAGGTGTTCCATTAAAGTTATAAATCCGATTTCGCTCTGCTTGTCCAGTCCTTTCAGTTCTGTAAGTAAAAAAATGCGGTTGCAGTTGTACAAAGTAGATAGTAGCTGTGGTGTACCACAAGGAACTATATCGGGGCCTTTCTTTTTTGTTTCTATAAATGATACGTAAAAGTTCTAAATAATCATCATAACAAACGAAATATTGGGAAAAAGGCGTGATGAAGCGGAAATAAGAGGAAGGGGGAAGTATGAGATACTTCTTTTATGTCTAACGGCCAAATTCTCCGTTCGATAATAACATAAACAAGAGTATTCTGGACATTTTTCAAATTTGAGTTTTGTTGCCTCACCCTGTGTATAGCATACATGTACAGTACAAAAAAGTTCCCCCCTTTTTGTTTCTAGTCACAGAATTACGAAATGAGTTTTGCCTCATCCTGTATACTACACAGTTTCATTGTTAAAGACACCTTGGAGCTTCAAATTATGTGTTTTTAGTGATGGAAATAAGAGAAAAATGGGTCTGTTTGCCATTAAAATTCAACAGAGAGGATCTTTCATACCCCTACCCTCAAATAAAAACGAGTCTACTTCATTTTTGTTACCTCACCCCATATACCACACAATTATACTACTAGAGACACTTGGAGGATTCAAAATATTTTGACTATGTTGCCTCACTCTGTACATAACTCGCTCCCTTAAGCTTTAAATGATCAAACACCTCGTATACAAAGGCAATTACTTACTAAGGCCTCCGACATCTTGAAAATTATCCCAAACGTACGTGACAGCCTTCCCCGTAATCATAAGATTAATAAGACTCTGACTTCCGTAGCCGTACGTCTCGTCTATGAGCGGATCCGTCGTGTCGCACTCCGACCTAACGGACTCCAAGCCTTTCGTTGCTATCACAGAATATAGAAATAATAAAACTCCGAATTGAGCGTTAAGTGTATGAATATTTTCGTTATAATACTTTCGAACGTCCTCCATCAACGGACATAGGCGAATTTTTAAATTGTCGTGGAAAACTTTGGCATCTGACTCCGAATTGGTATCGTCGCCGTTTACTAACGATGGTCCGCTACTATCTAAAGCTACGTCGCGATTTCTTAAATGAACTATGTAGTAACTGCCTAGGGAACACTGTTGTAGAATTTCGCAGAGTGCGTTTACGAGAACTTTGCGCTGTACCTCCTCGGCCACCTGCAACGTGAGTATTAGATTACTCGAAAGCAGGCGGCAGACTCACGGTGTAACGAAATGACATTCCATTATAGTCGGTTAAAAGTTTTTTTAAAATAAATGCTTGTATCGGTGCGATGATCGCACATGGTCCTCCCTCCGCTTGTTCCAGCGCGCTTTTCTCGTTTGCACTAAAATAAAACCCTACAAGAGAGGGGTGAAAGAGTTTTGAAATGAAAACAGTAAGGGCCTACCCTGCGACCAGCGTTTGAAAATGTCCTGCTTGATGTTGGAGCCCCACAGCAATTGCCTTATTCCCGTTAATTCCTGATCTGTCTTCGACAACAAATTATCATCCATTATAAAAATTAATTCTAACTAAATCAAAATCCAAATTTTGTTGTATTTTGTACAATTTGATTTTTAGGTTACCCCATTTGACGCATATAATGATTTGACGTTGACGCGAGAATTTATTACAGGTGTACCAACCGACATTTTGTTTATGCGATGTTGCCATGTCCTACCAAATGATCGCATTTGCTGCTTGGTTTTACCTGTAACCTAAAAATAATATTCTGATCTCCTAATATCATATCCTACAATCTACATTAATCGTACGAAAACCGGACACGGAAAATCCGGATAACAAAAGTTATAAGGCCTCTTTTATCTTTGATCTAAATATACGTTGGATTAGGAGTACAGGAATTGGTATTCCTGTAGCCTTTAAACAATTGTCAAAGAAAAACTGTAGCAGGAAAGCATAATTAGTCGAGATGGTGTCCTGGTATTTGTTATAGAAGAACAAATTCTAATCCAAATTATGGATGAATCTTGTATGAGGAGAACATATACATTCTACGGCTTCATGAATGTCTGCGATACTATTACAGCAATGTTTGAATCATAAACTTTAATTAGGAGAATAGGAGCTTGTGTCAACATTTAAGGTAAACGGTTATAAGAAGAGCACAATTTGTGAAATGGTGTCTCCCAATAAGTTTACGTTTTTACATAGACACTTTCAGGCGAAAAACATAAGCAGGTCATGTACCACTTTGTAGGGTGTATCTGTGTTCCTAATATCGTTTTTTGAATAGATGTTTTATCAAAACTATAGAATTTATGGATGTTTGTTGAAAATCAGGAGAACATCAGAAGCGCTTGGTAGAAATTTTTTTGAAAAAGAGTTCCTATTTGGGTTCGATTTTTTTTTCTAAACATGCTTATATTAGGATCACAGAAAAGTGCTGTGCAATTTATCCTAGTCTTGATTAGTAGTATTAGAGTCACAGAAGCCCAAGCTTATTCTGTTCTTCTGATACAAGTATTACTGTTTCAAGGACACAAAAACACAAGATGTTGGTTTCAAAATCGATTGGCTGTAAAAACTGTAGCACCATCTTACATATATTATGTTCTTCTGGCACACAAGGTTCCTAGACTGTTCAAATGTTGCGAACGATTTCTATATCAGGATCACAAAAACGTACACGAATGTTCTCATAATAGACCTTTATCCAAAATGTATCAGGATCTCTGATTCGGTTCCCCTCACACATTAACTCATTTAAAGATTGTTGTGCCAAGTCATAAAAGTAGAAGTTCCTGTACTCCTGATAAATTCTACTCTACTAAAACTGCCCTGTTAGGAACACATACGTAAAAGGAGCAATAATTATTAGGTCACACTTTCTCAAAATGTTATCTTTTTGAGACAAGGTTTACTTTTTTTGGAAAAAAATAGGCATGGACTTCTAATACAAATTTCTCTCAAAAGATCTTGCATTAGAAACCCAAACACCCCGCAGGCTTAAAAATTTAGAGCACAACTTCTCTTTGATCATGAAACATGCATTTTTAAAAGAGGTTTCAATCAGGAATACTTGAGTTTGCAGTTCCACGATCATTTTTCAGATTTGTATAAAAAATAGTAATCTTACTGAGATCCTGATACAATGAATTGTGAGCTGGGTTCCTAATCTGTACTCATGATACATACATTTGAATCTGAACGACCTCTATTACTTTAGTACAATTTTCAAGAGAAATGTGTATCAGGAGAACAGAATCTGTTTCCGGAACTACTAGAAAAATATAACTTATCAAAACGTGCAGCCTAATACCATTGAATTAATACCTTATACAGCGTCACGCGTTTCTGTGACCCCGGCACAGAGATTTTTTGTAAACAAATTGATACCAAGAGAACAGGAGCTTGCATTTTTGTAAACTTAGTAGGTACATCAGAATCATAAAAATAAAAACGTGTGCGCCTATGATCATAATACTCATAATAATTGCACGATCAATTTGTTTTATAACAATACTTTGCAGTTCTAGAGAAGAATTAATCTAACCTGTAAGAAATGTGCCCTAATCAATTTTGGAACTTAGTTATTGTCTGAAATTCTAATACCTACACGATTTTTTTTAAGAAATCTGAATTCCGGGAACAGAAGCATGTAGTTTCTGTGACCCTGATACAATTTTTAAGAGAATTATGTTAGTAGTTGTCTTGTCACCTAATGAAACGCTTATCACGTTTCTGTGATCCCGATACAGAAATTTCTATTAAAGGGACAGGAGCTCGCATTTCTGTACCAGAAAAACAGAAACGTTTGGACTTTTACAGTACGGTTCTGATACAACATTTAGAAGAAACTTATTGTATGAGAACCTAATTTCGAATCTGTATCCCTGGTACTAGCTTCAGTAAAACAAATCGTGGAGTTGTGTGGGCCTCATATGATTCTAGACAACTTGTATTAGGAGAATAAAATTTTATTAGGTACTTCCTAATTCCTGTTGAGCATTTTAGGTTTCTAACCCAAGAATCTTTCTGGAGAAATTCGTATCAGGAGAGCAAGGGACTGCAGTTTGCAGATTGTATTTGCTGACAGAATCGTGTTTCTGTAATCCTGAAACAATTTTTAAGAGAAACCTTGCATCACTTCTGTAAACATAGAGCTTTACAACAGCTGCATGCGTATCTGTGGTAACAATGCGACTATTCCAATCTGGAAAATGAAAACTATTTTTTTAAAAATCAGTATCAGGAGAACATGGATTTTGTGAAAGGACAGCTTTCAAATCCTATATATGAGCCTAAAATGATATTTTTTTTAGAATTGTCCACATCAGGAGAACAGAATCTTGCGTTTTGATAACCACGGTTTAGGAGAACAGAAGCTTGAGGCTTCTTGCGAGAAATATTAGTATCATTAGATTTAGGAAAACGGGAGCTTGTGGTTCGGTTATCCTGGTACAACCTTTAACAGAGAGTGGTGAGGAAAGACTTAATGGAATGGTGCAGTCCAATAAATTTTACAGATTCTTACCTCTGTGTGATCCTAACACAAATACTTTTAAGAATTAAAACAGGAAATTCTCTTGCCCTAGTAGAATTTGTGTCAGAAGCTGAAAAAATGAATTAGAGCGAATTTTCCAACAAATTTTATTGATATAAAGATCTTTTTCTTACGAATTGTATCAGGACCTCAGAACCACAAAATTCGTCAAGTTCTTTTTTACTCGTATATAGCAGTACGACAGAAACACACAAATTTGCCCTCCTCGTCCAAATTAACTTACATTCTATCGCGATCACAGAAACACCTTATGGCAAGTTAGGTTCTCCTCACACAGGATTTTCTTAAATGTCGTATCAAGACCGCAGAAAAGGAAATGTGTGTCTTTCTGATACTCTCCTTTACCAGGGTCACAGAAATGCAAGTGCTGGTCTCTTGGCTCCTCACTAAAGCTTCTGTGATCGTGATACAATCTTTCAACAATTGTTTCTTATTAGAAGAACATAATTTGTTATATGGAGTTTCTTTGTCCCTGGTATAATTTTGGTTGTTAAGACCATTCTTTGTAACGGGAAAGTAAAACATTGAAGAAGGCGCGACGAAAAATTTTCCAGCGTGTTCACTGTCTGGATTTAATAATAATAATAATGTTTCTAATACAGAATTTTTTTAGAGAAATTTGTATCAGGAGAGCTGGAAGAAATTTCCTTTAAAAACTGGTTGCACCAGAGGGCTATTGAACCAAATGTATCTAATATATAAAAAACAGCTCGTCTGATTTGTATCAAGTGACAAGAAAACATTGACTGATGATGGGCGGCATGAAGTTCCTTGGGCGTGAGAGGTGAGGCAGTGCAACAGCAGAAACCGACTGTAAATCCGGTCCTAGGAAACACTGACTGGTAATTGGTATGAATTTGGCCGAGCGGATCTCCCTATCTAGGATACATTGACTGACGGGCGATATGAATTTCGCCGCGCGTGCGAGGTGAGGCGGCGCAACCGAGCATATGTCCACTTCAAGCAAACAAGATTTCCCAAACGCGGTTCGAGAATATACTATCAGTACCACAGAAATCTAAAATATGCTCTCTTCAATAAAAACTTAAATTTTACCAGCACCAGAACAACACCATATGAAAAGTTATGTTCTCCTCATACAGATTCGCCTTAAACGTTGTATCAAGACATAGGAGAAGAAAATGTGTGTCTTTCTGATACTCGCCTCAGAGCTAGGTACCTTTTTACAAATAAATTTGCAAACTCGCTAAGTGGTGGGGGAGGGGGTCATTTTTTACCCTAGTATGGTAAAAAAATGAATGAGAATGACAAGATCTAAAATGTCTAGGGCGCCCATTCTTCCAGATTTTTTCTCCCTCCCGAAGCTGTCTTTTTAAAGGTGTCTCAGGACCACAGAATCACGAGATTTTATTCTCCTCATTCTTAAACATTCTTTTCTCCCAATATAAACGTGTATTTTTAAAATTGTATCAGGATCACAGAACCACGAGATTTTGATCTCCTCATTATTAAAGATTCCTTTCTCCTGATGCATTGTATTTTTTAAAATTGTACGAGGAACACGACAGATCCACAAGATTTTGTTCTCTTGAAGCAAATGTATACTACAAACTGTAATAGGGCTGTAGAAAACCATATCTACTTATAAAAATCTAGTGTCCCGATGCTCAGTCCCCGAAACCGAGCATATGTCCCACCCAAGAAAACATTGAGTGATTGACAGTATAAAGTTCGAAGGGTGTGCGAGGTGAGGCGGCGCAGCCGCCGTAACCGAGCGTATGTCCAAATCTAAGAAAACATTGACTGATGGGCGGTATGAACTTCGCCGGGCATGATACGAAACCGAGAGTTTGCCAAGAAAAGATCGCAGAGTGGGCGAGGTGAGGCGGCGCAGCCGCAAAAACCGAGCGTAGGCAAAAAAACATTGACTGATTATCGGGCGCAAAACACGTAGGATTGTCGGTATGAAGCTTGTCGCGCGTGCGAGCATTGCACTTGGTCTTGGAGGTCGGGGAAGCACAGCGCAAGGTTTCTCAAATAAAAATGGTGATCAGAACAAGCTGTAAAATTTATAGAACACCCCCATTCTTAAAGATTCTTTTGTCGCCTGTTATAAGTTGTGATTTTATGTGTCAGGAGCACAGAATTAACCACCAATTTTCGTTCTTCTGAAAGAAAAGTATCCTTGAACCTGTACCGGGGGCCCAGGGCTATATAGAAAACCACAATTTCTTAAGTCTCTTTCCGAAGTGGTGGGTAAAAGTTCATTCAAAACAAATTTTCACAGGTCTTTCAATTTTCAATTGTTTGTTTTCCTCTACTTCTTGATTATTGTTAGACTAGTTTCTATTGGCAACCCCCTTTGTGACATGTGTACCTATCTTGTCGATTTTTTACATTTTGACAATTTTTCTCTTTTATGTCTATAAAAGAGGAACGTGAAAAATCGTGCGAAACGACCGAAGTAGCTATCAAGGTCGGCTTTGTGAATTTCTGTTAGGGCAGGTAACCTGATGAATCCGATCTGAGGGTTGCCAATAAACAACCGGATGCGATTTTCGTACTTTCTGCACGAGCATACAATGGGGAAAGTAATTGCTTTTGCAAAACAAAGTGAAATAATTAAAAAGGAACATCGTATAGTAAATAGGGCCGGGACGGGACAATAATCGATTTAGCCCGACCACGCCGTAGACGCGGCAACGTCGCACACATCTTACGGTAATAAAACCAAAATCCTTTAAAAACCGAACCGCTGTTTCCCTTCAATTGTTTTAATAGGCTTTTGATTAAAAATGTAAATTAAAGGAGACTAAACTCGGCGCACGAGAATGTAAATGTTAATTCAGCCCACATGCCCCATTTGCACGTCGCCGTGTGCAATCAATAAAATGCCCCGGCTTAATTTTTTTTCCATCCGCAAATTTTTCCCCATCAATTCCCCCCCGACATGTATAGCCAAATATCGACGAGAGAAATGGGAAACGGCCCTTACGGCGCGGCGCCGACAAACGGTAAAGTGACGAACTGAATGTTTTTAAAAGGACCATATATACACACGCTTTATTCCAGTTCCGTTTTAGCAGGGAGACGGTCCCATTTTCGAAAGATCGGACGGTTAGTGGCGAAACGAGAGAGTTTCGGTGAGTAAATTACGCTTTTCGTTAACAATTTCGCAACGTGAACGCATTCGGTCTAAAAATATGATTATAAACTAAAATGGTAACGTATCGATCGGGAAATTCTGCTATATTTAGGACCTTTGCTTGGCGCATGTGGTACCAAAACAATTTCACACGGTACGTCGCTTTATTTTTAGATTATCGCACCGGCGAAATGAACGACAACGTGGAAATAATTCGTTCGAATAAAGGCGGATTGAAGTTGATTCATCGGGGGTACATGTACACGGTGCACAAGAAGCGACAAGGGGGTGGAATCCGTTGGCGTTGCACGCAGAGAAGTCTGCACTGCAAGGTTAGTCACGTTCCCTTTTTACCTGCGCTTAATCCGCGGTGCCGTTTTTAGGGCAGCATATCAACCGGCAACGGCCCTCCGACGGTCAACATGCCCCACAATCACATTCCGGACCCGCACTCGGTCGCATTGGCGCGCTGCAGGCAGGTGGAGGAGTTTCCCGATATCACGTCGATGCTCGAGACGGAATGCGAGGATGTAAAAGGTGAGTAGATCGCCACGTTTTGGGAACCGCTGTTTCTTATCAGCGTTAAATAAATACGGCGAGGTCCTTTTACCTCATGTAAGCATTCATTAAAACTGAAGGTTATTATTCCACATACAAAATATGCAGCGCTTAAAATCGCAATGAACGTGATCCTGCTCTGGTACGCAGTTTTAACCTTCCCTTCCTTAATCAGCCGGTCCGTCTACTCTAAGGGGTGGTCAAAAAGTGGAACGTTTGCGTATACAGGAGGGTTTTTTCCTCGCTCTATAAATTTGATATAAGCTGAAAAATTTGCATCAAGTCGGCAATAGATTTCGAAAAATATCAGGACCTTTGCCGCCAACCCCTGCAAAATGCACGCATTTATCCCGCAAGTGTATTGGATTGGTGGCAGAATTCTAAAATGTACCCCAAGTTCACATAAAAGTATAAGATTAGCCCCCTCCTTCACTCCTGAAATTGCGTTTTTTTCAAATTCCGTTTTATGAGATAATCATCTTTTTCGATTTGCGAAGGTGGTGACTCGTTTACAGGGGCCAGAATGTACCTACGTACCCTAAAAATGTTTTGAATTGGAGTAATTTAAATAAAGTAACAAGATCGTCCAACTTTCTCCCACATAACGTGTCTCGTTCGAAAAAGTATGGTTTAAGTGCATTGAATATTTTGAGGGGAGGGGGTCTGGGGGTATACTCCCGAATAGCACAGACCACCTCACTACAGGAAAATTGTATCATAGTTATAAGAAAAGTAACGTTGAATCGTATTTGTTGTGCTGAGGGAGGGGGGGGGGTATTCCAGACCCCCGGCGATACGGTAACCCACAAAACATTCATCCCCAAAGACTCACATTCGATTGTTTATTCCCAAAAATTATGGAATAAGTGTACTGAATACTTTGGGGGTAGAATCTAGAACTGGGGGGTATGGAATATTCTCCGCAGCAAAGTATAGATTTAACGTTACGGTCTGTGCCACGCATACCACTCAACTACATGAAAATTTCTAAGGCGGTGGCGCAACCAGAGGGGGGAGGGGCTGTCGGGCTGCAAAATGCCGTTTGACTATCGTAGAAGGTGTTGCTTTCAGCGCCCTCACTTCGTTATAATTGACCGCGGTTGTCCATATAACGCAGCCCCCCTCCCCTCCACTAGGATTTCTGGTTGGGCCACTGCTCTAAGGACTTCATTCCATTGCCTCTTTCTGAAAATTATTCAGTAAGTGCACGAAGTATTTTGTGGGAGAGCGTAGAACCGGGGGACCTGGAATACCCCGCCCCATTACACGAAAATCTTATCATAGTTGTTAGAAAAGTAAAGTGGAATTTTTGTTTTGCTGGGGGGGGGGGGGGGTAACGTTCGCAGCCCTAACGACTGGATTGTTTCTTTCTAAAAATTATGGAGTAAGTGCACTGAATATTTTAGGAGAAAACGTAGAACCTGGGGATACTCCCAATACCAAGTTACAAAGACCACCCCACTACACAAAAATTGTATCATAGTTGTAGTTGAATCTTTGTTTTACTGAGACCGCCCCAGACCGCCCGGTGCTATACATTCTTCCACATATCGTTAATTCCTAAGGACTCAAATTTGATAGTTTCTTTCTAAAAAATATGGAGTAAGTGCACTGAATATTATGGGAGAAAACGTAGAACCGGGGGGGGGGGGGGGTATGGAATATACCCCAGTCACATAGACCACTCCACTACTCGAAAATTTAATCATAGTTGTAGGAAAGGTAACGTAGAATCTTTGTTTTCCTGGGGGTTATTCCATACGAATGAATCTTTGTTTTGCTGGGGGGTAGGAAAACCCCCCGTACTAAGTTCTCCCACAAAACGTTCATCCGTAAGGATTCACGTTCGATTGTTTCTTTCTAAAAATAATGGAATAAGTGCAACGAATATTATGGGAGAAAACGTAGAACGGGGGTGGGGGGGGGGGGTAGGGAATATACCCCAGCCCCACAGACCACTTCACTGCTCGAAAATTTAATCATAGTTGTAGGAAAGGTAACGTTGAATCTTTGTTTTGCTGGGGGTTATTCCATACGAACGAGTCTTTGTTTTGCTGGGGGGTAGGAATACCCCCCGTACTAAGTTCTTCCACAAAACGTTCATCCGTAGGGACACACATGGAATAAGTGCACTGAATAATTTGGAGCAGAACGTAGAACAGGGGGTCTGAGGGGTATTGCACTGGGAGAGAACGTAGAACCTGGGGGTCTGCGGGGTATGGAATACCCCACCCCACTACACGAATTTATCATAATTGTTTGTAAGAAAAGTCACGTTGAATCTATGTTTTGCTTAGGGGTATTCCATATGAATGGTATAAGTGCACTGAATATTTTGGAGGAGCAAAGTTTGTATTTTTTTAGTGCAACACAGGAGAATCTAGAGAGGGGGGAGTCTTAAAGGGTATTGCACTGAATATTTCGAGAGAGAACGTAAAACCTGAAGGTCAGGGGAGAATGGAACACCCCCTCTCCTCCCGATCACACAGACCACCCCACTACACGAAAATTTTATCATAGTTCTAAGAAAAGTAATGTTGTATCTTTGTTTTGCTGGAGGGGATGGAAAACCCCCTACACCGCTCGGTGCTATACAGTCTTCCACATAACGTTAATCCCTAAGGACCCAAATTCGATTGTTTCTTTCTAAAAATTATGGAGTAAGAGTGTACTGAATATTTTGAGAGAAAACGTAGAACCGGGGGGGGGGGGGGTCTGGGGGTATGGCATATACCCCAATCACATAGACCACCCCACTACTCGAAAATGTAATCGTAGCTGTAAGAAAGGTAACGTTGAATCTTTGTTTTGCTGGGGGGGGGGGGGGAGGTATACCCCCCATACCCTCCGGTACTACGTTCTTCGACAAAAGGGTCATCCGTAAGGACTCGCGTTCTATTGTCTCTTTCTAAGAATAATGGTGTAAGTGCGCTGAACGTAGAACCGGGGGGGGGGGGGGTCTGAGAGGTATGGAACAGCCCCCACACCAAAACAAAGATTTAACGTTACGGTCTGGGTCACGAATATCTTCTTTTCTGCGTTTTTGTTCCCCACCCTCCTCAACCCAACCTCTCTCTTCTCTTTTACTGCTCATTTCTTCGTCCAAACCCCGCCCTCTTCTCTTCCTCTTTGTTTTCACTAGTCCTTTTTCTTTGTTGCTCCATCTGTATTCTTCATCTTCTACCATTAATTTTTTATTTCCCCATATTACTTTCTTGTTTTTCCTCTTTCTACCACGTCTTCAATTTCTCTCTGTATCCTCCTTTCTTCATACGCCCACTAGTCATCTGTGTACTTATATCCTATTTCCCTTTTACTTTCCCTTAACTCCTCATGATTTCCTTGTTCTTTTCCCATGTTACTTCAGCGACTATTACCTTATTTCCCCCTATTCCAATTGTTCCCGCGTCTATACTTTCTTCTTTTAACCATTCCTCCTTCTTTTCTTTCTCATCCATCTTTCCGTCTTTTAATGGTATATTATGTTCCTGAGCTTCTCTATTTCTTTTCTTTCATTTTATTCCTGTAGTTTTGCTATCCTCTTCATCAGTTCGTCGTTTTCCATATGGCATTGCTCTTCTCTGCATTTCCTACTTCTTCGTTTTTTTCATTATCTATGTGTTCTTTTGTTTCATTTACCGCCCTTCTTATTTCCTCCTTTTCTCGATCCATCAAAGTTGCCATTACTTTTTCCATGTTTTCTGCCTCCTTTCTCTCTCCCTCCCCTTTCCTTTGTTCCAGTCATCTTTATTACTTTCCTGCTGCTGCTAAACACCTCGAACCATTTTTTCTTTTCTGCTTCTTTCATTTTTTTTTTACTACCCTGTCCCATTCTCGAATTCATTAAGAGGCTTAGCTCCCGTATGAATGATTATACAACCTAATAACCCAACGGGCGTGAGCTGTGTGGCCTAACCCGCCCATGCGTCGGAGATATTTTTTTGAAATTTTAACCCCAGATGCTTCTAGTAAAGATACGCATATCGCATGTTTTAAAAATCAGATGTGCGCATGCGCAAACTACGCCATGTCATCTTTTTTATTTACCTATATAGATTATTTTTTTCTTTTTCTTCTCGTGAAGACAACCATATCGCATGTTTTAAAAATTAGATATGTGCAAAGTGCGCAATGCCAATTCTTTTATTGATATAGATTTTTTTTTTAATTTTCTTCTAGTAAAAGCAAGAATATCGCATATGGTAAAAATCAGATGTGCATATACTTTCTTATTAATGGATTTTTTTTTAATTTTAACAAAACATTCTTTTAGTAAAGACAAGCATATCGCAAATTGTAAAATCAGATGTGCCCAATGTCATTGTTTTTATTTATGGAGATATTTTTTTGAAAGTTTAACTACAGATGCTTCTAGTCAAGGCAAACATATCGCATATTGTAAAAATCAGATGTGCACATGCTTTCTTATTTACGGAGATTTTTTAAATTTTAACAAAAGATTCTTTTAGTAAAGACAAGCATATCGCAAACTGTAACAATCAGATGTGAGCATGCGCAAACTACGCAATGCCAATTTTCTCCTTTATGGAGATATTTTTTTGAAATTTTAACCGCAGATCTTCTAGTAAAGACAAACATATCGCATATTTTACAAACCGAATGTGCGTTCATGCATGCGTTCAAAATGAATATTTCCAGATAACATTCAAAGGATGGTATACAGCGCCCCCCATGTGCAAATACCAACAACATCCGATGGGGCATTACAAAGTCAGCCACTCTCACCGACGAAACTGAAAGTTCTACGTCAAAACAGCAGTAAGTGCTACCTGAATAAGTCAGTATCGGAATCCGTGTCCCACCTTCCACCCGAAGAGGTTTGCTTACGGTGGAACAGTCACCACTCTAACATGCAGAGCAGTTTTCCCAGGCTACTCGAGAAGGAGCAGTACGTCGATGTCACACTAATAGCGGATGGCCAGTCACTTAAGTGTCATCGGGTAATGGTTGTCCTCGCAAAGATCACGTGATCATTTTGAATCCTTTCTAGATGATCCTGTCTTCGTGCAGTGCGTACTTTGAAGATATCTTAAGCGACATTACTCCGACACAGCATCCGGTAATAATCCTGAAGAGCACGCCATATTGGATCTTGAGGGCGCTAATCGACTTCATGTACGCTGGCGAAGTGAACATCGACCAGAATCGGCTTCCAGAACTGCTTGATGTCGCCGAGCTTTTGAAGGTACGGTTGTAATTTAATTGGTGCTCTTATCTCCAACTTGTGAGTGCAGATCAAAGGCTTGGCGGGCAAAAACAGCGCCGACCAAGACCAGCCGATCAAGCAAGAGGACTTGCAGGAGTCGATCGTGAAGGAGGACGTCGTGAAAAGTAGCTCGCCGACCAAGGCGGAGGACGCGCCGATTAGTGACCCCTTGGAGTTGCTGCAGCCGAAATTTTTGGACGATCCCATCATGAAGAACAAAGATAAGTCGCTACCGAGGAAGATCTTCACCAAGAAAATTCGAAAAAGGAAGGCGTCGGACGGCGAAACTGTAAGTTGGCATTAAAAGTGGCGGGGGGGTTACAGTAGTTTTCATAGGCCTCTCCCCCTCTTTTCCCAATGAGGCGTGGCACTCGCTCCAGACCGAACGTCAAGGTTCCAAGATACTACGACTACGAAGATATCGTCAAACCGTCAACGTCAGACTCGCAACCGGAATCTCCAGGCGTCACAATCAAAAGCGAGCCGCTCGACATCGACGAACACGAGCCGACGTTCCTCGCCGAGAACTCGGACGGCAAAGCTACCGTCACCGCCAAACCGAAAGCGATCGAGAAAAAGCCGATCAAAACCGAGGAACTGAAACCGGAACAGTTGTACAAAATCAAAATTAAATGTCTCGCGAGCCTCTCCGAGAGTTCGGCGAACGAGCGCGAGCAGAACGATTCGGATCCGCTCGACATCGACGCAGACACGAAAAACAACGACATTCTAAGCGCGCTGGAGATCATCAAAATAGACTGCAGTGCGCATACTCAACCGAAGACGGCCGAAAGTGAGAAACCGACCGCCGTTGAGATCGTCAGTTCGACGCCGGTCGTAGACGAATCGGAAAAAGAGGCCGAGGAGAAGTGAATGAAGCGCTCAATCTTAATGTTTTCCTTATTGGTTTAGTTTAATCATTCTTCGTTACCAAGATAGTGATCGAGTTCGACTGGAATTAATGTTTAAGTTCTTATGATTGTGATATTTAGGATTTTTCGTTTTGTTTGTCTTTATATTAAAGGTGTGAACCCGATTGGCGTTTGAAACTCAAATCTTCCTGATTCGGGTCTGTCAGTGAAGGGTATGGGATATGCATCGTTAACGGTCGTCGCCAATTTCTGTGCTCCTGATAACAGTCCACTGCTTTTTTGGAATAAACAGACAACGAAGGTGAGAATACAGGCCGCCTTCAAACTGGGATTGTCCCATTAGTGCGTGATTTCGAATTTTCTTTCAAAAAACTGTTTGGATCAGGAGCATTTTATACTCTCCTGATACTGAAACTCCTATACATGTTCTATCAGAAGACATGACATGAGTGAACACTTTACAAATTCTTCGTCATGATAAATCATAATGACCTTTTCCAGAAAACGATCATTATCAGGAGCATAGAAACTGAAACCCTTGGGGTCCAAAAGACTCTTAGAAAGACTTAAGGAATCATAAAATCTCCTTACCCGCCATAAACAGTTCGGCTTTAAAACACTAATAGGTAATAATTAGAAATTGCAATACTTTTGAAGACCTTAAGAAGCCCTTGGAGACCTTTAAAGCTCCTTAAAAGTTTGAAAAAGGTACTAAAGGCTCAGCTTTCAAAATAAAAGCTTCTTGGATACTTTTAGAGATTCTTCAAGAATTTCATAGTTACTATTGAAAATGTTACCTTTAAAGGCCCTGAAATGTTTTTAAAAATTGTTAATGACGCTTTAAGACCCTTAAGATAAATGCTCTTAAGTTCTGCATTTAAAGGCTGTTAAGCATTAAAAGGTTTTTTAATGCTCTTGGGGACTTTAAGAGACTAACGACTTTTAAAGGCTCAAAGACGTTCCGTAAGAGCCTTAGAATGTTGAGATTCTTAAAAGGTGTTTACAACTATTAAAAAGGGCATATACAGATTTTTTAAAAAATTACAAAAGGTGTTGATCTCTTAAACACTTTAAGTATAGAGTTTTCATGTCCGATTTTACATTCGTTCTCAAGATTTCTCTCAGTTGTTACTCAAAAGTTGTTCAATCAATTCTTTCGAATTTTCGGAAGTTCATCGAGACCACCGAGTCTCTTAAATATAAAGATACTACACAAGAACCCTCACCCTCCAAGATATCTCAAATTTATTCGGTTTTCGTAAGAAGGTGTAGGTTTTAGAGCTTGACTTTACGCCAAGTGTCGTTTCGTGCTCACCTTGTTAGCTATGGAACCAGATCCTATTCGACCGGATCATGGGTGAACTTCCATCCGACCGGATCCACTTCTTGAGTTGGGTCTTCACCAGAACACACATGCGTAGAGAAAGAAAAATCCTAGGTACCCTTATAAGGCTGCCCCTGGCCCCTGGAATCTGGAACAAATAAATAAATTTAGAGATAGCGACCCAAAAAATGGTTATAAAAATTAGCCTCAATTGATCCCTTAAGGAAATTAAGGACTAATCAGCTGAATTCAAACTAGCAATCACCTCAAAAGGTGCCTTTTAATAAGATGGGCATTTTCGTATATCGGGAAAGCTACCAGTTAATGTGGCTTCTGTACTAATTAAAAATTATGGACTTACACTTTACTCTTATTAGTTCGGACTCGCCTGGTAGGGACGGCTCACTGCACCACCGCACTAGCCAATCTCCGCGAAATCCCTGAAAAAATAAATATATGACAGAAAGGCTTTTTATTGCTAATTAAAAATGTTCTGAGCGGTTTAAATTAAGAACCAACCTCGTTTGCTTATGAGCGGTAATCATTTCACCGAAACTATGGATCCTCGTCAGAAGCTGAAACCTCTTCCGGAATCTGAAACAGAAAATCGACCATGCTCAAAAATTGCCTAGGGGGCGTGAAGAAAATTGACGATATTTATAGATTGATGAATTAAGTGCCCCTAATTAATTTTTACAAGAAAATCAAAAACCTAAAGAGATTATTTAAGGGTTAATGTAAATTTAATTTTGGAAGCTCTGGTGCTTTTTGGTCATTTATGTTACTTTATTTAGAAAATGTTGTTTTGCTTAAATATATTCACGCTATGTAAGCCTCTTACCCTTTAACCGTGTCCGTGTATTTCGGAAAATGTGATCGAGGGTAGTTTTGAATGGGCCTCCTCTGGGGGTCCGTCACTGCGCTGTGAACAGTCGAAAGGAGTTAGTAAGCAGGCGTGTTATTTAAATACTAGTTTAGGCGCCTGAATGTTTATTAATCAATTACTTCACTAATAAACAAACACGCCTGTGACGAGTCGATCACTCACCTTAACCATTGAACACCTTTAAACTGATCTTCGTGCAATAATAGATGAGGTACAACAATCCCCAAAGTCACTTACCACCTTGGTAGCGGAATTATTGGGTGCAATAGGTTTTCATAGTCCGATTCGCAGAGAAAATCGGTTCAGTCCACAAAATCGACATGGCTATGATTTCATAGTCATACCGATTCGTATGAAGTAAACCGATTAATTCCGCGAACGAGACCTTTCGAAGGGTCATTGCAGCCAATTTTCCATCTCTAAGATGACAGACTGCGAAGATAGTCACAACTCACTTACTACCAAAATACGAAGGTCAGCTAAAATGAATATTTTGTTGATTTTTCACTTAAGTCACTGTGCACTATTCACTTTCCCCCACTGCACACAAAAAATACAATAGACCCATGCATAAAAAGGAAAAATCCTACCTTTATAAGGCTGCCCTTCTGGAATCTGAAACAAGAATAAATTTGTGTTAAAACAAGGTGACAACATTAAGCAAGATATCTTATAATTGGTCTCAAAATATCTCTCAAGAGATCGTACAAGTTAGCTTTGCATCTTTAAAAGAAGAGAAGAGAAGGAACTAAATATACCGAACAAGGCAACGCAACGTCCGTTTGATGAGGAGTATATCGGTAGGTTTAGTTACATTCTACTCTGATTACTGGTTAAAAAGTGAAACCTTACCCTTTAGCCTTATTGACTGGTTAAAAGGGAAAACTTACCCTTTAGCCTTATTGACTGGTTAAAAAGTGAAAACTTACCCTTTAGCCTTATTGAATCGGACTCTCCAGGGAAGGACCATTAACACTTACTGCACAAGCGCACTCGCTCAAGTTTGCGAACTACTGGCAGGGCGATAGGTCCATTACCAATAACTGAAACGAAAGGTACACGTCACAAAGTGCTTCTAATGTAACATTTAAGAATCAAATTAATTTTCATTGTTAATGAGCGGTTTGTGTTAAAGACAGTGACGTACTCACCTCGCCCGCTTGAGCGGCACTCATTAGATTATTCAACAGGGTCGAGGGCAGACTGGGAACCGACCTGGATCTTCACTGGCAGATGCGGGGTGCTGCGGGAATCGAAAAAATCAATTAGGACTGTATTCCTTAAATCCAATCGGCGTGTTCGGTTATTAACCAATTATCTCACCACTTACAATATAAATCGTCTTTCGCCAATTTACACTGTAAACTCATCCGTTAGTGACGAGTCGAAGAGCTAATGAGTGAATAAATAACCACCTGTGCTGCTTCAATCGCACTTACCTTTCTCTAAGCTAATCTTCTTGTAACAATAAGTGAAGTGCAACTGTCTTCGAATACATTCAGCTTGGGAACGGAAGAATTGGTTGCAATATTCGCAAAAAAATTTTATACTGATTCATATGAGGTGAACTGATTGATGCAGCAAAACATTGCAGTCATGGGTTAGATGGAAGAGCAGAAATGGTATGTACATATGTTTCATTCCATTACTGAATCTCGCCCTTTGTACATATTTCTATGTAATGTAACCTATAGGTACCTATTAAAGACATTTATTATTATTATTATTATTATTATCTTTCCGTCACCAAGAGGAGGAGAAGAAGATGGCCATAACTCACTTAGCACTACAATGTGAAGGTTAGCTTATACCTACCTCCTCTTAATCACACTATGCACTTTTCACTCCCCCCTTCCTAGATACACAAAAAATAAAATACCACAAACCCATGCAATAAAATAGAAAATCCTACCTTTATAAGGCTGCCCTTCTGGAATCTGAAACAAGGAATAAGTTTGAGTTAAAAATTTGAAAAAATATTTGTTTAAAATAAAAAGCAAGGGAAGCAAGTGATGAGTGTGCGACTGATTGAAGACTTCAAAAGGTGTGAAATTCCTGAAATCTTACAGGGTTTTCTGAGAAAATGTTACGGTTCCTTAGCGTTCTAAAGAGGTTGAGCGAGATTTGATGGTTCTGGGAATTTTACATGTTTCGCGCAACTAAAGGGCCCCAAGGGAAATTATGACCACCCTGAAAACTACCAGATTTTCCAGTTGGAATAAACTTGTAACGTGTACAGTTTGTGTAGATTTAAATTTCCATTATAACCCTGTGTATACGGGGTGCCAATTTTAAAACTTGCAGTCGGCCATATTTTCCAAACTAAGGAAGATATTAAAAATCGCGCAAAACCGTTTCGGGGGTATTGAGGGGAACCAGAATGGCGTTATGAGTGACCCCTCCTTAAACCCTTGCTTGTAACACATCGTTGGAAAGCTACTGAAAAATGCTTTGCAGTGGTACCAATAAAGTCAATATTCATTAAGACAATTTAACAAAAATTTAATAATTAACAAAAAAAAAACTAAATGTTGACATTGAGGGATTTATGGCAAATTATCCAAGAACTTCTACCTGAGCTGCTTCATTAAGCAATCCTAGTTGCTTTCTTTTTTTTATTGACGTACAGTACAGCTGAACGTGTGGAAATAATATTCATTTGTGGCTCCAAAAATCGATCGTCTTTTAGAACAGCTAGAACGTTTAATGGGAGACATCCCGGGAGTGTAAGCCATGCCTATGTTCAAGATTTGGTCGCTAAATTCGGAGAAACGGGATCTGTTATCAATAAAAGAAGAAAGCAACCAAGATTGCTTAATGAAGCAGCTCAAGTTGAAGTTCTGGGCCAATTTGCTATAAATCCCTCAGTGTCAACTTTTAGTTTTTTTTTTGTTAATTATTAAATTTTTGTTAAATTGTCTTAATGAATATTGACTTTATTGGTACCACTGGAA